ATATATATATATTACTTGGAAGTATTTTAGCGACTTTTGATGAGCAAATTAATTCAACGCCGTTGAAAGAAAGAATTTTTTGGGAATATTTGAATAGAGGTTTTAAATGAACGATATACACATGACACCTAAATTCATGGATGCATACACTTGAAATTTCATTGTTGTTCACGATCAATATGGCTACGAATTGCTAAATGTTAAACAGCATTCAAGAATCGAACTTATCGTGATTCATAAACACTTCGCAATCATCCATCAACTTCTCACTTTAAATACACTCTTTCTCAATTTTCATTTAATTCAGCCTTTTACTTCCATTAGTATTTCTCATTATCTTTACTGGATAAAAAGAGGTAGGTGCTTTGTCAACTTTCTTTCAACAAACACCATATTGAATCACCATCTCCATCGGCGTTCACGGAGATTGTAGTCTTTATTTGCTCATTCATGTCGTAATTCGAGTAATTAATTAATCAGACTATCATCGTTCATGTTTATTCGCATATTCAATATACACAGACAAAAATTCAATAATATTTACGGATTTGCGAATAAAACGTCCAATTTCCAGTGTGAAAAACACACATAGAAAGTACACATATGAAGTGAAATCACCATCATTCTCATCGGAACCATTCGATTACGTTCGACCAGTCATATTCAAGTGTTTTGAAATAGTCAAGTAACTACTTATCCAGTCAACAAACCAGCTAACATCATCACCACAACAACAACAACAAAAACAGATGTATCGTGCATTCGCTAAACGACATCCACAAAGACAGAGCGACTTCTGCTGGCCGATACCACAAATTGTTCTCTTGTGAGATTGCGCAATTGGCCAAGCTAATTCATATTTGTTGTTTCGATATTCTGACCATATTGAAAGAATATATTTCGACGAAGAAACGATCAAGTACTTCTATCAGGATTGAGCCCTCTTTCTATCTCTCTGAACAAAATCAAAGGTTTCAGACGATGCGCAATCGAACTCTGAGCGGATCCCAAAGCCCAGCTTTACACCAATAAACCATCGGCCCATTGCACGGTCGTTTCAAATTTATTCACATACTCTCTTCACACATTTCATTTTCATGCTAAACGCGATAACCTGAGCAACAGATAAGATGTCGCCGATCGTAAACTATTGACTCAGTTCATGTGCTCAACATCGTGCACGTGCTTTGAATGTGCATTTCAAGTGATCATATGATTGCATTATACAATGTGTTGTCTACGAACTGACTAATAAGTGAACGACTTGCTCAAACGTGTCCATAAAAGTGCAACAGTCTGCTTCATAACCCGGCTTTCTTACTAATGATCGAGCGGTGTGCAGAATGTTATGTATGTACCTAGGCACCTGGCTTCGTAATGACATTGATATTATTATCATATTCAGTCTTGATATCCCTGCTTGAAGCAGTCATGAATTTGTCTTCCCATTTGTGAGAAGCTCGCACGTTAACAGTGCTGAAAGTTCGTGCAGCGAAACTTTGTTGATGGTTTTGCTGCAGAAACAGTCAAACATGCGCACTCAAAGTTCACTGATGATCACAAATAGCGTTCGTTTGATATAAAATGATCATTTTGATGATTCAATTTGCATATTACAGGACATAAACGGTATGTCGATATCGAACATACCGTTTTTCAACATTGAGTTACCTCTAACAGATGACATCAGTTTGGTGGCAAGGACTGAGGAAATTCTTGCAAAATTACGACCTGACTGGAATTTCGCGAATATTTCTTTTAAGGTCAATCACTTTTTTTGCGTTTTGCAAGCAGTTCTTTTCAAAGTTTATCTCGGATTGTATTTCAGTTGAACATTTTTCGTTTCAGTGCTTTACTACTGGTATCACGAATAAGATAGTTTGTGCTACAAATTCATCTGCGAATGAGATTGAACCGTCCGAACGAGTACTTTTCCGAGTTTTTGGACGGAACACCGAAAAGATTATTGATCGGTTTGTTATCCGATATTCGGTTGAATGTGATAAATTTGAATGATTTTCGATTGATGGCCAGTTGCATCAGTTCAGAGGTAGTACATTCGAATGCTTGTTGAATGAGGTCGTTTCGCTTTGAGGAGAGCCGAACTCGAGAATTGGCTTCGTTTGGCTGAAGTCGGATGTGCAGCGCCAGTGTATGCTAAATTCATTAATGGAATCGTTTGTGGATATTTAGAGGGAAGAACGATAACAGTTGAAGACGTTCGTGAAGAGAAAATTATCACGTTAGCAATTTTGTTTCGCTCATCGCCTTCAAGTGCCATAATGTTGAAAGTTCACTTCGAAGTCGAAAGGTTGATCTCACACAAGTGAATCGTTAAGTAACTTCCTCGAAACCCTAACGTTAAACTTTCACTGATATTCGTTCATTCATTTGGTGCTTTGTTCAGTGAAATATGTAGATCGATGGCTAAACTTCATAGTCTCGAGCCATCTGATCATACAATTGTGAAGCCAATACTGTTCGAAAAAGGCGAAAAAATGTTGCGCTATTTCTCGACAAAATTTGAAGTGAGTTTCGTATAGAGCATTTTAATACTTTATTGACTGATATTGGTTGATTGATTTGCCGTAATTATTGCTTGGTTTATTCATTTTAACTGCTAGCAGATTGCTTTCAAAACTGAATAATGTACATTTTATCGCATCATCCAGCGCCCTATTGAATCCATTGCGTTCACATTCTCCTCAGAACGCATTCATTCATCCGTCCCATTCGTTATCATTTGTCTGCACTTGAACGTCCTCATGTTTCAGAACTCTGCCAAACAACAAGAGTTCGATGCTTATTTCACAAGCAATAAAATATCTTTGGAAGATGATTTTAAGAACCTGAAAAAATCTATTGATACACTTGAAGCACGTGTCGTTTTTTGCCACAATGACCTGCTTCTGCATAATATCATCTATGATTCGAAAACTGGTAAGATACACGATTTCTTTCGGGAACGATCGATTGCTTTTTATTTGGTTGTTTGTTTCATTCAAGTCGGCAAGCTAGTCACGTTTGTTGCTGATTGGCAATATCGTTCGATTTCGAATCATTGTTTAGTGATTTCACTTCACTTCTCTATAACATGGATTCCGTGCACAAATGGAAAATAAAGCGGAGAAAAAGCCTATTGCCTCAAAAAAAGTTTGCGTGAATAAATGAGAACAGAATTAGTCCAATGGATTTTTGATTGGTTTCTGTGGATTCAAGTTGTTGCTGTGTTTAAGGAAAAGTGAGCTTCATCGATTACGAATACGCAGGATTCAATTATCAGGGTTTCGATATTGCGAATCACTTTTGTGAATATGCCGGTGCGTTTGTGTATGATTTGTTTTAGAATTGTGTCCACCAGTAAATTGTATATTCATTGTTGGCTTAAATAAGACAAGAATGTCGCAATTACCATTTATCACAAAGATTAATAATCAGTGTCACATCTCCGTGTACTTTATGATTCAATACGATTGACTCAAACTTATACGAAGTGAATATTTTTAATATAATATGAAAACATGACTGCGAAATCATAGGCGTTGAAAATGTCGACTATACGCTTTGCCCAAGCACTGAACAGAAGCGAGCATGGATCAGTCTGTATTTGACTTTCTTATTAGATCGTCCACCGTCTGCAGATGCCGTTGAGAGGATGCTTCAAGACAACGAGATTTTTGAGGCGGTATATTTGCTGTGATGTTCTTTGTTATTGCTCTTCGAAGTGTTGATTTGACCTTAGAACTCACCGCATCTCGCTTCTTTCATCACGATTGTTTCCAAACTCTTTTTTGTAGGCGGCACATTTCTTCTGGGCGATATGGGCACTAGTTCAATCACAAAATTCCACGATTGATTTCGATTATCTTGGGTTAGTTGAATTCCGTGATTGATTTTGATCTTTTTTTTGTTGATTATCTCCTGTTATCATGGCTCCTGATACTTATTTTTGTGACAGAAAGATGAGTTGTTAAAAAATAGAGTTTATTGTATTAGGTGAATAAATTAATGGAAGATAAACGGAATGCTAATTTAGGTACGCAATATTGAGATATAAAATGTTTCAAAGTGTTATGTTGCATTATCACCATCTTCAACAACAACAGCAATCAGATTCTATCTGAAAATCAGTCAGCGTAAGCAGCAATGATAACATGATCCCAGAAACATCAGAAATACTCCTCAGTTAATGCGGATCTCGAAAACTTCATCATACATGATTTTAGACATTCAAACGACTGAATTTTAAAATTTCCTTCAGTCTGTAAAAGTGCTATTATACTATACTGTTCATCCAATGAGCTTTTTTAAAATTTACTGCAAACCATCAATCACACTTCGTTGCTTTCAATTATTTATTGTTTGCGTATTTTGATCCCAAAACTATTTTGGCTTGCATTATCATGCATTTTTCACGTTTCACGTGATCAATTTGTCGTTCTCTCCGAGTCTTAAAGTGAAAACTTACAACTCATTATGCGGATTGTTACTATCAATTATTCTTTGGTTCTCACATTGATTGTCAACAACAGTTTGATAAGGATCATGACTGATTTCGATTAATGTGCTTGTATATTCGTTGATCAATGAAGACACTGAAATAAGTGAATTTTAAAATGCATCAATCAACTGTGTTAATATTATGCTATGCTCAGTTTTGTCTATTTCATTGGTTCTCATAGGGGC